TGCGCTTAATGATTTTTGGTTTCTAGATTATGAAGAGGTTAGATAATGTGGTAACGGGAGACGTGACAGCAATCAAAATGTGACCAAAGAGAAGCCTGGTAAGTTTTTTTTTTCTTTCATTTTTGATATAAAATTATAAATGTGAGGCATTTACTATTGTTAAGACACTGGTACTAGTTCTTAAAGGATAAGCTGGATATAGGTTATTAACATTGATGTTAATAATAAAGTAGTTATGAAAGTGGGTACCAGACTGGAAGTAGTCAACTTAAGAAATCTTATAATATAAAGTTTTTAGGATAAAATGATAATCAACGATGATTTTAAGAGGGCGTAAGTAATATAAATATAAACTGATTGCCAAGATTAAAAAGAAAAGTAATTATGTTACTATAAACAATATCTTATATACGGTTTTAATAATAAAGATATTCGAGTAGAGTGTGAAATATGAACTTTGAGTTAAATGTTATACGAAAACTATAGACTTAAGATAAACAAGAAGTATGAAAGTTGAGGGAAACACAAACGAGTCAATTACAAATTATTAAGAAATTAGATTTTTAGTCAAGATAAAACTGAAGAAATATTTATTGAGAAAACAAAAGGAGCGTATTTAGAGGAAAGATCTTATCCTGTGTAACACCAAGTCAATTTAGATTGGCTGCAACACTATGGGACATTATATGTCATGCATGTTTCTGTTTATCGCTGTCTCGGTGAATATTTTAAATAAAGCAAAGTCCTTCATCAATTGTGATATATTGAACTGGTATCTAAGCTAATGTTTTTGTTACGCTGCTTAAATGTGTATGATAATTATAGCTGTCAATATGTGCCTTTTATTGTTTCGTGCTTTGTTTTCAAAGGAGGATGGAATATCATATCATACAATTACGTTGAAGGCCAAAAATAAGTAACTAATGAAGTCATAAATACAGTCTTTAGACCATAGACGAAGTGGAAAATGTAAACAAAGTCAAGGGTGAAGTTCCATTTGAGAAAACAGCAAGAGCAATACATGATATAGACGGTGAAGGAGAGTTGTACATATCAAACATATCATTTGATTAAAACTTGACATGTAAGAAAATAGACGACGAAATTGTGGTAGATACTGCTACCCGCGTTCTAGAAGGTACGTTGTGTATAAATTAAAATTTAGGAAACGTAAATTTTTTTTTTTGAGGTATAAAAGTTATTGATGACGAAAAAAGAAACATCAACGAGCATCTTGATGAAAGTGGTAATGACGATAAAAACGAAGCACTCGGAGGAAACCCTATGTCTTCGTCAGCTAAAGCTATTTACTATTATAGCTACTAACAAGAAAAAATCCAAAGCTAATGTTTATTTTTGTAGAACATGCAGAAGACGAAACAAAGAACAACAGAAAACGAATGATGCTCCGTGTTGAGAAACTGTTGCATGGTCTGTTTACCAAAATAAACTCGTTGGAACCACAGCAAGAAATAAGGGATGTCATCAAAGTGTTGGAAAAGACTGATTTAGATATAATACTGCCCGAAATCCAGATGGATGAGCTGCAACCGCCTTCCGTAAATACAAACAGAAACGGACGTAAATCAAAGCGTTGTATCAAAAGTAGCACCTAGAGATTGAAGATTGCAAAGGAGCTACTCGACGAACACTAGCTGAAGGAGATAAAAAAAGCAGAAAAAATAAAAGGAGAAAAAATAAAAGGAAGAGGAAGAATTTGAAAGAAAAAGAAAAAAATCGTTTTTCGAAGAAACAGAGGTAGCTCTTGAACAGAAGAAAAACAAATCGACTCTTTTCGTTTCTGAAGACCCCAACTATGTCAAAAGTGATGTGAAAATTGAAAAATAAACGTTGCATTATGATCGGTACGAGAAATACAGATAAAAAACGTTAAATATAGACTTACACGTAAACAATTGTTGGAGTTACTTCATACCGCAATGCCGAAAAGAATGTAGCAATTAATTGGAATCGTATCCAACCCAAAACCGTCATTGCTGCAATTCATGACGTCGGGCTGATGGAAATTGTGGCTTTAGAGCTGTGGCATTAGATGTATTTAACGACCAAAGTGAATGGATAAAGGTTAAACATCAAATGCTTGAAGCCTACGTAAAATACCATGATACCTTGTCAAGCCAGTTGATGAAAAGGTAATCTAATGGGAAAGAATGAAGGGCCCTCACAAGCAACAAAATTATTTTTTTAAAGGTCCCGATTAAGGACTTTATTATTTTTTTATTTTTTTTTTGTGAAAGGTTACTTCAGACTTCCAAAGAAAGCTTTTTCCAAAATCCATGACGTTGCTTTTTAATGACCCTTTTTGAACGATTAAAATATAAAGTTCACTCAAAATGCTAATCTATCTGTTATTATTTTTCAAGGACTCTATTGTTTACATATACTTTTTATTTCTAGAGAAAACAAAATGAGCCTATCTCAAATTGTTACAGTAGTTGGTGAATCGCAATAAATTTTATTTGGACTTAATGATGATATGAATGTGATTATGGAATCAGACATTTCTACACTTTACCGACAACAAAGTCTCCACTACAGCTTTATTGCATTCTCGATGTTGCCTGTTCCATCAGATCGTGAAACTCCCAGTGTTGAAGAGGTGCACTACCAGTAGAATTAGCATCGTCTCGTCTGGTTCTGAACGTATCACAGAGGCGAATCCACTTGTTATTCATCGCTGCAAAGTCCCTTCTACCGTTGATAGCGTCACTGGCATTAAAAGCATCTTCCGTTGCCTTGTTCAAATTCGGCTTTGCTTGAGGTGAGTGAATAACACCCACGTTTACAACGTAATCGGAAAACAACTCGATCAAAACGTTGGTGCTTGCTGAATCCCATATGACGATGGTAGTGTCCTTTTGGAAAGGCATTTTGTTAAATAAAATTGGATAGTTAAGAAATGGTAAAGAAAAATGAAGAGGATCACAAACACAACTCTTTTATCAAAAAAAAAACAAAAACATTGGTGAGTTCAGTAGCTCAATTTGGCTGATTTTTCATCTGATAGAAGGATTCTGGGGTCGTTCGATTTTAATCCTATATTGGGATATTTCGAAAATTTTGGCACTGGAGAAAATTCGATGTTATTGTTAATCGCCTATATATATCCATTTAATTTTTTATTCATCTACAGTGACTTCCAAAACTGGAAACATGTTTACAAATTTTGTAATGTAGCAACAACTATGCTTTGAAAACAAATGCTAAAGCTTTTATAATTTTTGGAGGTTATAAGCATCCCATGCACTACCTTTCACATAATTTTGGAAAGTAGACGTACATTTTGGCGGTCACAGTATTCAATTGAACTTGACCTGTACATGTTTCCAGTTTTGGAAGGCAATGAAAATAATTAAAAAATGACCCACAACTCGGTCATGTATCGAATAAAAAGGAGCCAAAATTAATTTTTAGCTGTTTTAAACATAATTGAATTTTAAGGTAAGTTTTAAACTCAATTTGGGCATGGCTACAAGCACCTACAAAGAATTTGTTACAGATGCGCAAAATCACGAATGACCAATTACAAAATATTATTTCACTTCTTCAAACAGGCAAAAGCCACCGTCAGGTAGCTTTGGAGACTCAAATTAGTCACACAGTCCTCAATCGAATTGCTCGCGAACACGTTACTAATCGAGAAAAAGATAAAGGTGGACGCCCTCAACTATTAAGTGAGATGGAAAAAAGATACTGCGTACGGCAAATAAACGGGGGTGGTCAGGAAAACGCTGTACAAGTCGCAAGGGTCTTGGAGAACAATATTCAAAAGCGTGTGTCACCTCAAACCGTTCGTAGGGCCTTGAAATTGTCTGGATTAGGTGCAATTGAATAACAAAAAACCTCTGTTACGAAAAGCAAACGTCACAAAACGCCTTAAGTGGGCTAAGGCTCACAGAAACTGGACCATTGATGACTGGAGACGTGTGGTATGGTCCGATAAAACTAAAATTAACCGATTTAACTCCGATGGTCGCACATGGGCTTGGATTCGAGACACTGAGGATATTCAGCCTAGACATGTAAAGCAAACTGTCAAGCATGGAGGTGGATCCATCATGATTTGGAGCTGCATAAGTGCCAGTGGTGTTGGCTGGATGTGTAAAATTGATGGTACAATGGACAAAGAGCTTTATATGGATATTTTACGTGACGAATTGGACAAAAGCGTAGATATTACAGCTGAGAATCTATCCTTGAATCGAAACCAGGTGATTTTTCAGCAAGATAATACCCGAAACACTCATCAAAACAGGTTCAAGATTACTTGAAACAACAAGACAATGACGTCATGAACTGGCCATCGCAATCACCGGATTTAAATCCTATTGAACATATGTGGGCCTTGTTGAAACGAAAGCTGAATGATTATCCTACGGCACCAAAAGGAATCAATGAATTGTTCGAACGGGTCACAGATGTTTGGTACAACAAAATTACTGTAAATGATTGTTTGGCTGTTATAGACAGTATGCCTAGTCGCTGCGAAGCAGTCATCAAAGCAAAGGGTTATTGGACCAAATATTAGGTTAAGTGCAAGCAATAAATGATATAATCCAAACCGGCGCCAAAACTGGAAACATTGATTACTCGTCTTAAACCCCTTATTTCTTTAACTTTAATAACTTTTAAAAGTCACAAAACTTAGTGTAACATAGTCGAGTTTGGGCCATATATTTTCGAAAAAAAATCATATGATTCGCTTAATTTTCCATGGAGTAGTGTTAATTATACCAAAAAAAAGAAAACATGTTTCCAGTTTTGGAAGTCACTGTATTTTTGCCGGGATATGGATGTACGTTTTCGCCGTGCAATACCAGTTTGACGATGTTCTGCCATGAAGTTCGAGTTTCTTTAAATCTGTAACCAACGTCCATAAACTCCCTTTCGGTTACGAACGCTTAAACTATTCAAGGAACGTTTCTAGATTATTTTAATTTATTGAGGGTACTCCGTAAACGTTATTAGATTATCCCAAACTATAGGATCGTAACGGATAACGGACCAGAGTACCTACAAGTATCGGATCCTGACGGACAACGGACCGGAATACCCAGAGGTATGGGATCTTGACGGATAACGGACCAGAGTACCAAAAGTATCGGATCCTGACGGACAACGGACCAGAATTCCCTAAAGTATTGGATTTTAAAGGATAATGAATCAAAGTTTCCCAAACAACTTCAATTCAAATATTCCACTACTTGGGACTGAACTTATAAAATGAAAACAAATTTTTTCCAACATTTTGTGGTTTTCCTAGGATATAGGTTAAGATAGTTCCTTTCCACCAAATAATGGTAATACCCAAAACTACTTGCGGTAGCTGAGTTAGAGCCAATTTTTGTGCGTCCGCCTATGTATGTTTTAAATCCAGATGACCGAAAGTTAGACTTTAAATTACAAAAATCTGATTTTTAAATGAAACAAATACCGAACAATTTTAATTTTAGAGATGATACTTGTATTAGGCTAGTTGCCATCTCTGCAACTTTTAAACCGCGATAATTGTCAGTAGCAGGACTGTTAAGGATTAATTCTTTTCCGGTAATTTATGTGAGGTAACAGCGTATTTGATGCAAATTACTTGCTAGATACGTTTTTGAAATGCAATTTTGTATTCTAGAAATCTTAAAAAGTTTAATTATCGATTGCAATTAGAAAACACTGGTTGTAGAATTTTGTGATTTTACCGTGATATTGGCAGCGTAAACGGCGTATCCTTCACAATATCCTGGTAAAACAGTCTTAGGTATACTCCGCGCATGCAGGATACGATAGAAAATATTTCGTGTATTCTGCTACGTGTTGGTACATGATACACCCTATATTTTGTGCTTCATTGTGGTAAAAATTTACGCCGTATCATGTGATGTATTCTGTGCGTACATGGGATATTTAAAACCCGTGGTTCAGATTATTAACAGGATACATCATGTAGTATAGGATGTATTTTGCGTTATTTGATGCAGGATACAACGTAAAATAAACGGTCATTGGTTCTTGTATTTTAAGATGATGTTTTGTTATTGGCCCCTATTTTTTAGATGATAGTAAATGACGCGTTTAATAAACAGATGGAGCTTTGTTATTGTGCTCTTATTACGAATTACATATGCTTTTTGATATTATTTGTCATTAAAAATAGATTTTATTTATAAAACGGCCTCCATTGGGTCTAAGTATGACGTGATATACGTCTATTGTACCATACGTAGCTTTTATTGCATACCCAGAAGCGAAAACAAAACGTATGTAGATGTAGGTCACTCAAGAAAGGATACATTGTTGGTTCAATCGTTCGACAACATCAAAAATATTTCTGGTCGTACACTGAAAGATGGAGGGATTCGGTTGTGGATGTAGTATTGGCAGATTACACTTTACATTTCGTACCAAATAAAAAATAAAGAGATTAGATCGATGAAAAGTGCATTATAGTTTGGAAGTTATGAGCAAATTTTTTATTGTAATGAATGAGGGATTGTAGAAGGTTATTAATAATACAATCAGGTATATATTAGTTTAAAAAAAGGTGTTATTCAAAAGAAAAAAACTAACGTCTAACTACTTCAGATCTATCATCAGAGAAACCATGTTTACCATCAAAGGCGGGTTCACCTTCACTCTCAACTCTTACTTCGAAGGCTCCTTCATAACCTCGAGCATCTTGAAGAGGTTCCCTCAATGATTGTCGGAACGCCGCAATGTGTTCGGCATTTTCCGTGAAGGACTTCGTTTTGAACGCATTAGTCCGAAGACTCGTCACCAACAGCTCCGTCATACACAACTCGAACTCCCTCTGGCTGTTGTCTCTCCGCACTTCATCCCTTATTAACTGGGCTTCACGGTATCCTGAAGAGAAATCCCACTTCATCCTCTTGCTCCTCATAGCGTGATCAGGATCTACACGAATACGATCAACTGAAGGCATTTCAGGTCGAGGTCTGGACGACCCAACATTCCGACGAGCAGCACGAGTAATAGTAGAGCCTTCACAAACACCACGTGAACCAGCATTGACACGAACAGCGTCCACATCATCATCGTCACCGAAGGCATTTGTGTCAAGGTTTTCAAAAACCTCCCAGTCAAATGACATCGAACTACGACGAGTTCTGGGAGTTTCGTCAAAAACCACAGGAAGAGAAGACGTACCATTGTCACCTGTGGGCTCCATAGACAAAAAGCGAGGAATTATAGATGGTCCAGGAGACGAAGGATCGCGAGTACGAACAGAAGGTTCCTTAGAAGCAGATCAAATTGGCTGAATTGGTTCAAGCTCTTCGACATCACCAAAAACAGCACGGGTTTGTTCATCAATTGCCGTAATGTTGGGCTCTTTTCTACTGGGAAACTTATCCTCAGTACCACCAGGAGCACCATAAAAAGCTACGCAACAGGTTCGGTATTTGGCCTATGACCATGTACAGTCGACAATCGTTGAAATCCAGGATATTCGAAATCATACTTTTGTTCGATACTAGTGATCCCTCGACGAATATCCTTTTCTGTCACACCAAAACCAGTGCCATTCTACTTTCGCTCTATTTCACGGTAATTGGTAAAAAGACGTGCAACAAGTTTTGTAAGCTGATCCAGCGTCCAATCGGTGGGTATAGCCTTATCAGCCAGCAGTTTTCTCATCTTACTCTTAATGATTTCACGCTTTTTGACTATGGTAGCAGCTCCAGGTGCTGCGTTATCATGTACCCCGATGTATGCTCTAAAAACCTTTATATTTTTCTCGAAGTAACCAAACATCGCTTTGGCATGAGCAGGACTAGTGTTGGATCCACGTTAACTATCATTAACATAAGCTGTTTTGGAAGACGTTTTCTTGGATGTTCTAGTAGTAGTTTGCTTACGTTAACGGCGCATTTTAGTTGATATAATTCAGAAAATAATTTCAGAGAAAGAAGGTAAGTCAAATGTAGGATATACAAGGTTTATATATGATAATTAGATGAGTGGTGACATTTGCATGTCATTTAAAATAAGAGGGAAGTCGGTCGTTGAAGTGATACCAGATGATCGGTTGATAGTTTATAGAGATAGGAATTTGTAGTTAAATTCCTTCGTAGCTAAACTTATTAGCGAGACTTTTGATGAAAATAAAAATAATGGAAGACTTCCAAAACTACAAAATTTAATTTTTAACCGGGATTTAAATCTTTTCACCTTTTTTTGGATTCGTGTAACCATTTTTTAACTTGATTTTAATTTAAAAATTTACAGCAAAAGTTTATTGAGGCCTCCCGCCCCCCTCTACTAAGGTCAAATTTTAACTTTTTCAACTTTTTATTTTTTTCTTTCGCGCTTATTCTGTTCATTACCCTCAGAAGAATGGCTTTCTTCGGTGGGATTTATCTAAGCATAAAACAATTAGGAACTTTGCCATACAAAGAATGAGTGCTTTTACCGTTGTTACCTTCGCAATTTGTGCAGTTTAACTAAAATTAATTTTTGTCTAAACGTTTTGGAAGCCTTAATGATTTTAATTGGAAAATGCTTTAAGCGAAGTTTAAATTAAAATTAAAATCAAGGGAAAAAGTTTTGGAAGTCTTCCAATATTTTATTGTATTTTTGTGTAGGGTTTTTATATGAATTGAATATTATACTATATTAGTTTCTACAGTAATGCCGTCGCTAAGTTATACTAATTTAGCGTTGGCTTCTTTGATCTGTCTAATTTAGTATGTGTTAAGTTATAACACCGATTAGTCAAGTGATGACATCTAGGCTCACGACATCCGGGGGGTTAAGAGAGAAGCAATGAAATTGTCTTCTTGAATATACTTCTTCATCCTACTGGAATGCATCTTGTACCAAGTCTTGTTGTTTTCCAAATCCAGCACGTCGAATCGGTCAGCGGATAAAATCTTGACGATCTTGAAAGGACCTCGAAATGAACGAACCAGTTTAGCAGACCTTTTACCAGCAGCGCTAGATTGCACCGGAAAATTAATGAGTACCAAACTCCCAAGAGTGAGACCCGGTTCTTGTGAATGCTCATTGAAGCTTGTCGCGTTCTTGGCCTGTGTTGCGTTGTTTTCCAGTTGCACCAGAGCTAGTGCACGATCAAGGAACTGTATTACTTGTTGTTGGTATTCTTGAGCTGGAATAGACTTGACCCCAAAATCCGGCGAAGCTAAAGTTCGAGATTCACGACCATGTACCAGAGACAATGGTGAGAATTTAGTAGAGTCATGAATGCTTGAATTGTAGGCTAATTGAAACTCGTTTAAGTGTTCATCCCAAGTGGTTTGTTGGTAATCCAGGTCCATGAAGGATACGATCAAGTTTCTGAGAGTGGCCATAAACCTTTCGACGAGACCATTGGACTGAGGATGGTATGCTGGGGCAAATTTCTGTTGAACTCATAGATGTAAACATAGCGATTTCAGCAGAGTACCGGCGTATGGTTGTCCGTTATCACTGAGCAATTGACGGAAAATTCCATGTTCAGAAATGACCTTACTTAAACATTTGACTACTTGCTTATCGGTATTCTCAGGCACCGCCGTGATGATAACATACCTTGAAAACATGCACTGAATCACGATAATGTATTTATTACCCATCTTGGATACGGGAAGAGGACCAAAAGAGTCAATCGCGATTGTGTCAAAGGGGGGTAAAGATGAACTTGAGTGTACAAGACTTGTAGAACCCAGTGTTGTGTGCGACCGTTTGACTTTCTGACAGACTTGACATGTATTTACCTTATCCTTAACCCATTGTTTTTGATCTGGAAAATAGTATAGTCGATTGAATCGTTGTAGAGTTCGACCAACACCGAGATGACCAGTTGTAGGATTTGCATGTAACAATTCGAACGTTTCCAACCATAATTCTTGCGGAAGTACGGGCCGGGAAGAAAAGAAGAGGACACCGGACTCGATCTAGTAATGGGCTGGAAGTGGATCTTGGGCTTGAATCTCTTGACAGAAAGCATCATTGAGTTGTGCGTTGATGAAATCGTTAGACGACAGGTTGCATAAAATTTTGTGGGAACCATTTGGAGTAGCCACAGGGTAAGGACTAAGGGCATCGGGACCATCAATTTTTGTACCAGGACGATAGACAATTTTGAAGTCATGTTGTTGTAAACTGAGAGCCCAGCCTCCTAAACGACCACGAAGATCTGTATTTTTGTTCAGAAGAGTCTGGAATGCTTGATGATCTGTGATGACTGTAAATTTGGTAGCCGTTAGATAATGAGCAAACTTTTTTATTGCCCAAACAATAGCAAGAGCTTCAACTTCCGAAACACCGTAATTCTTCTCAACCGGAGACAAAGAACGAGAAGCAAAAGAAACTGCATAGGCCCTGTTGTTGCGAGGATCACGTTGACATAAAATGACACCAATCCCAGCGGTACAAGAACCGTCGTTATGAAGTTCGAAAGGGACAGAGAAGTCCGGAAAGCGTAATACGGGAGCAGAGATAAGCTTATGTTTTAGAACGTCGTATGCTCGTTGGTGTTCAGGTAACCATTCCCAAGGAGTATCTTTCTTGAGTAATTGGTTCAGAGGGGCAGAAAGGACAGAAAATTGACCAATGAAGCTTCGATAGTACCCAGCTAGTCCGAGGAAGGAGCGAAAGATTTCGATATTGGAAGGTGTGGAAAAATCAGCAACAGCTCGAATTTTCTCAGGGTCGGTATGGAGTCCGTCAGGTGAAATTACATAGCCGAGAAAAGAGATTCTATTGTTGGCGAATTTGCATATCTTGAGATTGATAGATAGACGAGCCTCGCTAAGACGATCTAAAACCGAACGAAGGTCTTTGGTATGCTGATCGAAGTCGGGTGAGAAAACAACGATATCGTCCAAGTAGACCAAACAATGTTGCCATTTGAGACCGGCGAGAACAGAATCCATGAGGCGTTGCATGGTAGCAGGTGCGTTACATAGTCCAAATGGCATTCGAACAAATTCATAGAGACCGTTGCGCCAAATGAAAGCCGATTTGGGGATACTTTCCTTTTCTAAGTCGATCTGCCAGTAGCTAGATGTTAGATCTAATGTTGAAAATATTTTTGCATTACCCAAGCTGTGAAAGGTATCATCTATACGTGGCAATAGATATACATCACGAGTATTAACACTGTTAATTCGTCTATAATCGACGCAGAATCTAGGTGACCCGTCCTGTTTTGTTAGGAGGACAACACCAGATGCCCAAGGTGAATTTCCTTCGCGGATGGTTGCTTGTTCGAGCATTTCTTCCAGTAGGCCATTGATAGTATTGTTCTAAGCGCCAGAGACACGGTGCGGAGGTTGAGATAAAAGTCGTTGATCTCCAGTATCGATATGATGTTGCACCGAGGGAGTGACCGTAGATGCTTTCGACGCAAACCAATCTGAATATTCACGCAGAACCTTCTTCAAAGTATCAGCCTTGTTTCCAGTGAGACTGTCGCCAAGGGAAGATGCGAAATCGAGACTAGGGCCTGGTGAACGACTCGAAGTTTGAGTTTTGAAGACTGGATACTAGAGATAATAGAAGGATAAGGTAAAATATTATATAGTTTTGGGGACGAAGGTAAATACTCATAAGAAGCGATATGCTGACCTTTATTAATTAAAATATTTGAAGTATCTAGATTAGCAATTTTTACCGTAGCAACACCTTTGTCATTAAATTGGACCACACCAGCAGCAACAGACAAGAGTTTTTCCATGGCGACGTTTTGTGGTGTAGATACAAATGCCAGCTTGTTCGGAGGTCCTTGAATATCCACATACGCATGATGGAAACCAGGAAGGTCCAGTGAGGTAGTCATGGAACAAACCGAGGCAACAGCAGGCTGTTTACGTTGTTGAGCCTTGATTCCCTTCCGAAGGCGTACTTCGTTAGTACGAGCATCAATGATCGCCTTTAAAGATCGTAAGACAGGATAACAGATGATAAATTCATGGGAAAGTTCTTTAGCAACGTGACAGTCGAGGATGACTGGAAGTTCGCGAAGTAAAGCCGAGACCTTGTTCATTCCTAAAAACGTGTGTACTTGATTACCGGCAGTGATAAAATACATACGATGTTTAGCGTCTGGGACCAAGTTCAGCTGTTTAGCAAGAGATTCACGCATGACAGTAACAGAAGCTCCTGTGTCGATCAGGCCAAGAGCTGCATAACCTTTGAAGTGAACACGGATCTTTGGTGTAGAAGTTGCATCTGTAGGTACTGAGATACCATGTACTACGGGGTGAATAGAATAGTCATCCACAGGTGTAGAGATCGCATGAATACTCTGGGGGCTTGAAGCAATTGGGTCATGTTCAATGGGAATAACTGCATATTGGCTGTTACTAGGTGAAATGGAAGCCACATATTGGACAGTGGTAGGAGCAGGAGCCGAGGGTTTGTACTTTACCTTGTCAACAGCATGAACACGATCGGTTTTCTTTGGACACTTCTTGGTGAGATGGCCTTCGGTACCGCAGATACCAAAGATAGGTTTACCAGAAGCAGCCCAACGACGCATGGAATCTTCCTTACGTTTTTCCTGGGGACCGGAGCAACGATGGTTGTTGTTCTTTTGGATAGCATCAACTTCCATTGGCGATGGGCCATAGAATGTAGGGACATGAGGTTGAGGAGTGAGAAAATGATCATTACCCAACGAGAGAATAGATTCATGAATCGCAGCGGCATCAGCAACAGTCTTCCAAGTATCGGCGGGATCAACGATCCCAAGCAATGCAGTATCAAGTTCTGGTCGTAGGTTGTTGAAGCAGATGTTGCGCAGAACATCGGCAGCAAGAGTATGTTCTTCAGGAAAATCAGAGACGATTGTCTCGAAGTTCATTCGATTCTCGGCTACTCGACGAAGACCTTGTTTGAGAGATTCCAAGCGTTGACGACAAAGAGATTTTTGTACGAAAGGGTCAATACCGTAAACACTCTCGAGTTTAGCCTTGACATTCAGAGGGTCAGAGAAATCAGCAACGCGTGCCAACCAGTCAGTAGCCTCCTGGGGCAAATATTTGAACATTTGCATGTTTCGAGCCGTGGCGTTAGACATCACAAGAGACTTAGCTTAAAGATGAAATTCTTTGATCAATTTCGATATGTCTTGGCCGGGTTGGAAAGGAGTCACAAGTGTTGTGTTATTAGCGCGTCGTTCAGCCAACATAGACGCAAAGGAGTTAACCTCTTCGGGGTAATTAGATTCGGGCATTGATAGCGAGAGTACGAGGTAAGTATAGAGCAGATAGATAGATATAGATATGTAGGCGCAGGAAAGAAGTAGCTACTCCACCATAAAATAAGAGGGAAGTCGGTCGTTAAAGTGATACCAGATGATTGGTTGATAGTTTATAGAGATACGAATTTGTAGTTAAATTCCTTCGTAGCTAAACTTATTAACGAGACTTTTGATGAAAATAAAGATAATGTTTTATTGTATTTTTGTGTAGGGTTTTTATATGAATTGAATATTATACTATATTAGTTTCTAACTAATGTCAACGCTAAGTTATACCAATTTAGCGTTGGCTTCTTTGATCTGTCTAATTTAGTATGTGTTAAGCTATAACACCGATTAGCCAAGTGATGACATCTAGTCTCACAACACATTTTTATGACGTAAACTAAAGCAAAATAAACAAAAAAAAAATTGCAGAGACAATCCTAGAACCCGTGACAATCGTCCGTTCCTGAATTTTTGGCTGGGAAAAAAATTACGCGATGTTTATTTTTAATGTTTCCGACCCCCTAATGATGTGGCACAACAGCAAATTAAAAGAAAACCGGGCAGGCCAAGAAAACAAAGCGAATGTTCCCAATTATCAGCTTCTGCAAAAACTTTAAATGACGTAAAAAGAGAAAAGGGAGACCACCTAAAAAGAGTAGGGATGTTGAGCAGCCAGAAAAGCAACCAAGAATAAAGCGCTTTAACAACAATTTAAATATGACTATATTTATTAAATGAAATGTCTGATATTCACATATACCTTTTTTTTTTGTATTAACTGTACGTTTATTAAATATATAAAGAAATTATAAAATTAGCCCGAAGGCGTCACTAAACTATCACTACGAACTAAAGGGGATTGCGTTTCTTTAGTATCAGCAATACGTATTGAGTGATCTTGTTGAAACATGTTAAGAGCAGCTTGTCACTTCCACAGATCACCATCAATCACACATCGCCAGTGGTTGTTTCCAAATTGTACCTTGTTCAGAGCCAAGAATAACAAGTATATTCGACGATAGAGGCTTTTGGTTTTGACCGCAGAGATATACAAAGCCGGACCAAATATCAAACTCAGTTTGGAATGTGTCACCAATGTTAGGAAGAGGGATCGCGTTACACCAGTACTGCCACTTATCGAAACAGCCTACCACAAAATGGAGCAAGTCTTCGGAAGAAGAGACTAATCAAATAGGGCAGCTGGCACACGGATACTTAGTACGAGAACACAGGTGTAGTTTAGCCCTATATGCTATACAATCTTGAAGTAGCCGCCACCATGGAGTGAAGGCCTTACTCGTCATATCCAAGGACCAAAAGAGCCGCCATAAGGAAGGCCGAAGTAAGAACCGGGTTGGAACCACCTGAGGGTTTTTTTTTGTATGTAACAGTGAGTTTATTTAACAAGATAGATATACTGTAGAAGTAAAAAAGGGAAAGCTAAACTATTTCGGTTTAGCAACCTTTGTCTTCGCAAACATATTGTGACCCTTAAGAGCAGGTTGCATCTGCACAAGTAACTTAGGAGCAGGACCTTTGGAGGTTTGCTTGATAGTCTTCTGTTTACCCAAAATGGAACGCTTTTGTCCTAGCATTTTTCTTCCACCATCAACCATTTAACCAGCCAAATGGGATGTCTGAACTGTCACGGGTAATGTACCCTCGTCTTCTTCAATTTCCATGCACACCGTTTCTACAATTGTCGCGTACTTAGACGTTGAAGAACCACTTTCAGCAGTCTTCGAAGGCTGGTACGCATCTGACAGGTCTGTATCAGAATCGGAGATAGCCTGTTCAACAATCGTAGGCAGCTCGATATTAGATTCCTCCTTAGGAGTATTGACTTGCACTGGCTGAAACGTTTTCTTTTTACAAAACTTCGCCGTATGACCATAACCTTGACAAGCGAAGCACTTGGTTTTGGCCAATTCGGGACATTTGGAGCGCACGTAACCGGCGTGGTGACACCAATGACAAACGATAGGGGCACCTTTGAAGGATGCCGAAGCAAAACAATCCCATTCGAACAAATATGAATTATTCGACAGCGGCTCATTGGCAAACTCTGCACTATCATCATCAGAATAACCGGTAGTCGTATCGAGTATCAGTGATAATTCGCCTTCGAAATATCCACCACAAGTGTACTCCTTGACTTGCAAGACTTCTCCGTAAACAAGAAGAGACCTCATTAACTTTTCAAGAAAATCCTCCTTATCAGGAATATATAAAAGTGATATCTTAACGTGGGCAAGCTTCTTCAATTCGCTATCATTTGAATGAGTTCCTTTGATAACGGTGTTCTTGATTGTAACACCAGTAAAAATTGCCTTATCAAAACTTGAGTCATCAACAAATTTGGCTTCAAACAAATGATCACCATCTAAGCTCGAACCATAATTACTGATTGGGCGGAAACCATGGACAGGACCACATTGCGTTTCAATAAGCTTATATGCTTCGGTACGATGTTGGATTAACGAAGCAGGAATGGAGAAAAGAGCGGAGTCAGGTGTCAAGGCCTGTTTCACTATTTCGGTAGCCTTCTGCATTCTGATGAGGCCTTCAAGGTCTTCACTTTGGTAGATGACCTTACTTTGTAACTTGAATTGAGAGTCCACATTTTTAGGGACAGATAAAGGACGAACAACTTTCTTGGAATTACCACGGGACACGATTGTTGCGCAGGAATTCTGAAGATTTTCTGCCATTGTTTAATAATCCAGAAAGAAAATTAAAATTGGAGATTGAGAATTGAGAATGTTGAAATCTTTGCCGGATTGGTTAAATGTCGCGATAAACGCTGAGATCTAAGAGATGGAGGGGAGCGTAATAAATAAAAAAGATAGAACCGATAGAGAGGAATCGAATGCAAGAACAATTTTTGATGGATGTATCGAATTCACCGAGATATCGTTGAAACAGGAGTATGGATGGAATTTTTTTTTTTTGTATGAACTGTAAGTTTATTAAATTATGTACAAATTATAAATTGGCCCGAAGGCGTGACTAAACTAATCTTTGGAACTGTTGACTTTGCCAAGGTCGAAGCAATAAGAACAGAAAGATCTTGTTGGAACATGTTAAAAGCCGCATGAGAGCTCCATAGGCCATCTTCCATAACACACTGCCAATGGTATTTCCAAAGTGTACTAAAAGCTGAGCCTAATAGAACCAGAATATCAGGCTTTAGACGTTTGGATGTAATAGAACAAAGAGAGACTTTTTTTTTTTGTATTAACTGTAAGTTTATTAGATACATAAAGAGATTATAAAATTAGCCTAAAGGCGTCACTAGACTATCACTACGAACTAAAGGGGATTGAGTTTCTAAAGTATCAGCAATACGTACTGAGTGATCTTGTTGAAACATGTTAAGAGCAGCCTGTGAGTTCCACAGATCACCATCGATTACACAGCGCCAATGGTATTTCCAAAGTGTTGCTAATCCAGAGCCAAGAATAACAAGCATATCAGACGATAGAGGCTTTTGGTTTTGACCGCAGAGAGATACAAAGCCGGACCAAATATCAAATTCAGTCTCGAAAGTGTCACCAATGTTAAGAAGAGAGATTACGTTACACCAGTATTGCCACTTATCGAAACATCCTACCACAAAATGGAACAGGTCTTCGGAAGAAGAGACTAAACATATAGGGCAGCTGGCACACGGATACCTAGAAGGAGACCACCAGTGTAGTTTAGCCCTGTAACCTATACAATCTTGAAGTAGCCGCCACCACGGAGTGAAAGCCTTACTCGTCATATCCAAAGACCAAAAGAGCCGCCATAAGGAAAGCCGAAGTAAGAACCGGGTGGGAACCACCTGAGGTATGACGGCGCGAATCTCAAACCTCGCACGATCTGGATCCCAATACCAGCGAAAATCACCTGGACGTATACCAGAAACAGTAACCATGTTACCACGGCCTTGGGGGATAGTCCAATGATAAAGCGCTGGCAGCCATGCTGGGAGCAGAACATCGCGGTTTGATTGATTATGCAAAGCTGTTGGAAGAAAACCAGTTGCAGCAAACCAGCCATCGGATGGATACAAAGCTCGTCGAACCTCTTTCACCTTGCTAGCATTGACGACTCGTGTATTTTGCAAGTTATCGGTAGACTGATTCCAAGAAAAGATATCGGAGACCAAATACCGAAGGGGCACAGAAGAAGGCACCAGTGTCGGAGACCAAGTATTAACTGCATCGCCAACAGTTACAACACATTGCAGAGGCAGATCTAGAAACCATCGAGCAGACCATGTGTTGGACAAGGACAGTGGGGGAAGCTTCTGTAGAATTTTGCCGAGTTGAGCCAGAGGGACTATCCGTTTCAGTGAATTTTGAAATTTAGTCGGATATAAGAACCAGGGTAAAATTGAGGCGTGACCGGTATATAACTGGATACCACGAACCAACCAAGGAGAAACAAAATCAGTTGCCTTCGGGCCGGAGATCAACCGTTGAATGTAGATGTGTTGCAAAGCTAGCTGTTGCAGATGCACATCAACCAAGCTAACACCACCGAATTTTCGCGGGACATACATAGTAGACATCGAGGGCCGGGGCCAAAAAGGAAGTAAATATCCACGAACCAGAGCTTGGACAGAATCGAGCCACTTAGTTGGTACAGACACCACACGCAAAATGTGCCAGAGCCGACTTAAAAGCAGAGAATTGGCAACAAGACCTGATCCACGCAGAGAAAGATTGCGCTGACGTAAGATATTCGAGTGTCGCAGTATTTTAAGCCGAACTTCATCCAGAAACGCATCGAGCTGTGTTGAGGTATGGTATAGAGGGTAACCAAGATATCGCACCGCACCAACAGAACTAGAATCATGCCATTCGAGACCTTCAGATTGAGCAATGTCGACCCATTCAGCATGACCAACACCGGAGAGAGACACCAACACCGTTTTACTAAGATTTACTTTGGCATTAGAAGCTAGACCGTAGCAATCCAATAAAGATTTCAAGATC